CAAGTGTCAGTGAATGGGATTCCTGCTGTTTCACACAGCTTTTCCCAAACTTCCTTTGTGAACTTACATTTTGAAAAAGAGATGTGTATTTGTTTCGTATTTAGAATTGCAGAGTAAGCATTTATCTGCAATGGTAGGAAACCATCTCTTCTGCTTAGCTCTTGTAGTTAATCTGTTATGTGTTGCCAATCAACTAATGGAGCTGTGTTTTGGGACAGCTTGGGAAAACCATATCAATCTGTGCCATGGAACTTTGCTTTGCGTTTCCCTTAGCCAGTGTCAATTATTTCCAGTTCTGAATTAGCCAAAAGTGGAAGGTATCCCATGAGTCTTTCACCCCTTCCTTTGGGTATGACTTATTAAAAAGGGCCATTTGGATTTGCACAAGCTCAGGAGATCAAGTAGGAGGCCAATTCCATAAATTACCTTGCACAACAGTGGATACCTTTGCATTGTGTGGTAGCCTTGAACGCCTAATAACTTTGTCACTACGTACATGTATTAAGGGGCTGGATGTTGCCAATTGTTGAACCAGAGAAAGGTGTCCTCACCATCACCTAGTAGATGCCTTAACATTAAAGTTAGAGGACCCTTGCCAATCTATTTCTTACCTTCACCCACTTTTTCACTTTTTCTTGAGGGTTTTATACAACATATAACCAGGAGGTGCCTCTAAGAAATGTTCTTATCATTCATCTTTGATCAGTGTTTCTACAGTTGGAACCTACTAGGTGAAGTACCATTGAAGAGGGGATGTGAAAGCACACCTCTATTTTATTTTCCCCTTTCTCAAAAGTGTTTCTTTCACCCATATGAGGGTGTTGAAAACTTTATCATGAGTATTCCCAGTTTCCCATGAGAAACAACCATCTTTAAAGAGAGGAAAAAAGAGAGAGAGAGAGAGAAAGAGAGAGAGAGAAGAAAATAAGAAATAAATGAAGACAATCTGTTAGGATTTGATCACCTGTGTCCTCTAGTCTTAAATATACCAAATGCAAACTGGAAGGAGACCAAATCAAGTCATCATTGTTCATTGAATGATGACATTGATCATTTTTCGCCTTTATGTTAATATTATCTTTTGCTACAATCTTCTCTTATGTGCTATTTTTTTTCTTTAAAAAAAAAAAAAAGTGGTTCCTCTCTTATATGCTTGACTTGCATGCTTATTCTAGTTTCTAACTTGTTATGGGTTTTTTGTAGACAAACTTGTGTAAATTTACCATTTTTATTTTTTTAGTTAGTTTCTTGCATTTAAATATTTTATAATTCTCTCAATGTTGCACCTATGTTTGTCAAGTGCTGGTTTGCATCTTTTCTTGTATCTAAGCTCCGAAATGGCATTTTGCTTAAATGCACCTTCCACCTTTTAAAGCACTGGTCTTTATGGAATGTGTCAAATTTTTATTGTAGTTGTCAACCTACCATGACCTTACCCCTTTAGCCGGGCTTGATGCCAGCCATGTAAAATTGTGCAGTACTTAATTACACAATAGGCAGATTTGGTCTTAGGTTTAAATCAGTTCTTCGAGATGTGGGTCATGGTTTGGAAGATATTTGCTGAAAATCTAGTAGGTTCTTTGCTTATTCCAGATGATGAAAATTTCTAACAAGGTTCCAATGCTTGTGCCTCTAGATATTGTAGTTCATAAAATAAAAAAAGAAGAAATTCCTGCAATTTTCTTTCGTTTGTGTTTGTTTGTGTACGTTTGTGTGTTGGGGGGAGAGATTGGATTATCTGAAAACTGTTACTAACCTACTGACATAATTGGCCTTCTTAAAATGCTTGGTTTGTCTAGAACATCATCTTTTCCCTGTGAAATGTTAGCCATATTAGTTGAAAATGATTTGTGCATGTCATGATATCTAATCTTTCTACGTTGAGAGAATATTTATTAATTTCCCCACACTTTCGCTTTTGAGGACTGATGTGTAGACATTCTGAGCTGGTTTTGAGGGAAAAGTTGTTGGTTAAATTTGATTGGATTTGTGCAAACATTTAAGTACCCTCCCCCTTTTTCTTTATCCTTTTGCATTCTCAATATCATGATACCATTTTAATGCATCTTCCTATTGAACTTTTCAGATATGTGTTGTTAGAAAATCACAAGTTTAACGTATTGTTTTCTTTTGTGATCAGCTAAGAAAAGATATTTTTTTACTAATATTATGTATTATATATGCAGAGTGGAGAAATTGAGTCAGCATCTTCCATGTGGTGGTGAGGAATTAGATAAGCTGAGGCTGAGGGAAATTGCTGAAAGGTTTGAGGAAAGGATTTATACTGCTGCAACTAGCCAGGTAATAGGCAATTGTACATTTTTCATATCGGATGTGTGTCAAAAGCATATGTGAATCTTTTGGAGTATGTGTGCATATTTACTGGTCATTATGTGCATTTCTTCTGTTCTTCTTTTATTTTTCTATAGATCATATTATCCTAACTTAAGTCTAATTACTTAAAGTACTCCAAAGAGTAAACAAATGAAAGATAAATGAAGAAAGTGCAAAGGATATCATTTGTGAAGCATGAAACACATTCTTTTAACTTACTTTCTTTTCTGAAGACCTAAAGCCCATTTGATCTGAAGTTTTTGTTGACCTTTCTTTTAAGTCGGACTACTCGACGAGAATATCCTCGAAGATGCTTTCAATAGAGACAAATTCTCAGGAGACCTTACCCAATCCTGGCAGTAGCAGCAACTCCTGATCTAGGTAATGACATGACATAGTATTTTATTTGTAGCATGCAGATGTAAAGCCTCTGAAAGTTTATGCAGCTTCATGGTCCCTTATATTATTTTTCATGTATTAGTTACCTTTTGACATGGAAACGCATTTCACCTTCAAAGTATTTGGTTTGCCCTTCCTCCCTTCGTATAAGCAGCGTTGTTAAAGGTGGCACCTAGGCCCTATGAACCACTTAGGTGCTGGGCGGTAATCCACTGCCCACCTTAGCTTAAGGCGGCAAAGCCCCTGGGCAATGTTTTTCTTCTTAAAAAATAATTCTTTTGGTTTCATTGAAGCCAAAGAACATCATTCCGTTTAGAATCTCAGAAAATGAAAATAAAAGCAGCAAGGAAAGCCTACCTGATCATATCACCGTTTCATCTTCTTCTGAACTTCCTCCTCTGCCTTCACTTTTAGCTTGATCTTCTCTTTCTTGACTCTTTCTCTTTCTTCTTACCTTCATTGTGCTGGGTAATGGAGATGGG